ATATGTTTTACTTATTAATTTTCTTATTAAATCTATATTAGAGATGCCTTTTCATTCTATTACTTTACTTCTGTGTATAGTTTATTTATGAAATATAAACATTTATTCTTATAAAAATATTCTTTGGAACAATTCTTTATATGATGAAATTTATGCTAGAGCTTTTTTAATGCGAAATTGGTTTTTTATACTTCTAAGATTCTAATTAATTTTTTTGAAAAGTTTCATAATGTTGGTTCAAATAGTTCTTCTAAAATATTTTTTGGAAACAATTCTTCATGAAGAAATGTATGTTAGAAGTTGATCTAATGTTTTATAATATTTATTGAATGCAAAATCGTCAAATTTGGAATAGACTTTAAATAGTCACAACTATTTCAATTGACTATTTTTACTTTTTCATTTATTTTAGTCAAATATACATAATTATTAATGTGTAAAAAAAACAATATAAAAATATAATTATATGAAATATTCAACTTTAACCATTTAAAATTAAATTTTAATTATTATATTTTCATTTCAGAATAGCGAAAGTTTGAACGAACATGCACCAGAACAAGTGAGTCAAATTTTATTACTATAATTTTATTTTACACTGCCAAACTAATTGAAAACGCACAGATTTATGGTTATCGATACATTGTTAGATAATTAACAAGATGATAATTATTTAACATATTTCTAATTCTTATGTCAAAACATGTATATTCTTCTAAACCGTTTGGTAACTGTAAAACATACTAATTTTGAAATGTACTAATTTTAGAATATTAACACATTGATGATGAATGGAACGATTTCTATTCATTTTTGTTTCCAGTGACTATTCCAAGATTGTTTCTTAATATTTAAAATAAGGATTTATTACTTTAAAGTACAAATTGTTATTAACAATTAATAAAAAAATAAACTTATTCAATTTTGAGTTTCACTTAGAATATTCAACTCTTAATTCTGGAATAAAACCATATTTTTATCTGTTTGTTTTATTTTTAATAAAAAAAATGGGTGCACATATAAGTTTGTTATATAATAGCCCTGCAGCTTCCCTTTTTTTAATATTTTTTTGTCTTTTATACATGATCTTTCATTTTTATATCTTCTATTTTCCATTCAGACTTGTATTCCTTTATCTTATAATTAGTTGCTTGTCGTTAGACGTATAATTTTTTGTACAGTTACAATTTCCATACCAAAGACTTGGTCCAATTTATTTTACTTCAGAATTTCCCTCGTTATTATCCGAAGTATTTCCTCATTTGTCATTTTTTCTGATATTATTTTTGTTATGTGGAATTTAATTGGTGATTTGACAATGCAACATTATTGATTTTATTAGCTATCATATTTATTTATTAGATAAGGCCTTGCGAAAAAACTACATTTGCATATGGTTTTGATTATATCACATACATTCAATCAACTCATCGCTAATAAATTAAAATGCACATATACTACTGAAATTAATTCTGAAAAATGAATGAAAATAAATTTTACTTAAAGGTAGTTTTTTCTTGTATTTACTATAAAAGTGATTTTTTGGTAAGCTGCAGTGAAAGACTAAATATAATGGATATAATTGCTTAACCCTCCGTTGGTCGGAGTTGTCTGGCCAGACTTTTTTCGACATCAATTTAAAAAAAAAATACTTTTAGTAATCTTATTGACTTGAAATTGCTGGACCTTTCCTGAAATTTCATTAGCTGTCGATCGATGAAAAAATCGGGACGAAAAAATGTGCGGTCCACCCAGACCACTCCAATCGTTCGAAGGTAAATAAATATCCGACCAACGGAGGGTTAATATGAAGTAACTCTATCAGACAATTCAAGAACAATGTCTAATATTTCTAAGTATCATATAGATGAATTGCAAACTTAAAATTATTTATTTGAGGTATATAAGTGATGTTTAGAACTAGAATATTAGAATTAGAATAAAAATCCGAATTATTTCTTGATTAAAATAATTGTCTAATATTTCTAAGTATCATGTAAATGAATTGCAAAGTTAAAATTATGTATTTAAAGTATATAAGTAATATTTAGATCTAGAATATTAGAATTAGAATTAAAATTCGAATTATTTTTTGATATTCAAAAAAAAAGCAATCGTTTCGTCAACACAAGCAAAAAGTTTGTGTTGTTTTCAATCATTCAAATCCGATGCTTAGTTCTTTCATAAACTGACATTTTTAGCACTTCTTGCTCCATATCTCCGAAGCCGCTGGACCTGTCTTCGTCAAAAATTAATCAGCACGTCATTTCATCAATAGGAATCGAATGTTTTTAACCATTCAAATCGGATTATCCGTACGCCCGAAATTGTTGAAAAAAAATTGTCTCCACACATACACACACATACACGTCCATTTTTTTGAGGTATGCCAAAATGTTCAGCAACCCTGAAATGTAAAGTCATTACATAAAATACAATAATTAATTTAAAATATATATTATAACAATAATTATTTCAATTTTTCAAATAGCGTTAAGGTTATATCAAGGCTAAGTTAACATGTATGTATTGCCAACATAATCATTAAAAAAAATGAAAACTGATACCAAAAATACCAAGAAAAAATCAATTTTTTGTATATTTTTTTACATTTAATATCAGTATATATATTTATGCGATGCATAACGTGAATAACGACCATTATCGATTAATTGTTAAACAATTATCCCAATAATTAATTTATAATATAAATTATAACAAAAATTATTTAAATTTTTCTAATAGCGTTAAGGCTATATTAAGGCTAAGTTAACATGTATGTATTGCCAACATAATCATTAAAAAAATACCAAAAATACCAAAAAAATCTAATTTTTTATATATTTTTTTACATCGAATATAAGTATATATATTTATTTGATGCATAACGTAAATAACGACCATTATCGATTAATTGTTAAACAATTATCAATATCTTATTTACACAAACACCATAGGTGTACAAATAAGCTTCCCCATATTTGTTTGCGTTCTTCTTCATATTATTATAATGTTGCCTATCCACGATGGTTCACGTATTCTGTCACTCGCATAACTGTAATTTCATAAACACACTCTTGCGAGTGCGTCATACCATACAAAGCACTGTGCCCTGTCCTAGTACCTTTGTGCCGACGAATGTGTTAGGTTACCCGCTTGTATACCTTGCCGATCCAGTGGTGCAGTGTGAACTGAACTGTACGCGCGAACTTCGTGTTACTTAATTTGTAGATTAACGGATTTTTTTTTATTTACGGTATATTTTAGCAACCAAATTATAAATACAAAAAAAGTGAATGCTGAAAATCAAAATAAAGGGGAAAAAAATAAAAGGATTAATTAAATGAATGAATGATAATCAAATAATATAAATAACAATAAAATAAGTAGATTAACGGAATAAAAATAATATATATATATATATATATATATATATATATGAATATATATATACATATATATATATATATATTAAATAAAATGAATGCTAAAATTCTTACTTTTCTTGCAAATATCCATTTTTTATTATTTTACTACTTACTACAATATAAATGAAAGCCAAAATATAAGGGGTCATAAGTATTGATGTTTTGCAATTTTAGCCACATTTCATATAACTAGTTGAACAAATAGTAAAAAATAAGTGTTTAAATCTAAATTATTTGGATAATTTATGCATAATTCGACTTTACAAATATAGGTGTTATTTTGGGATCTTTATCAATTCAATAGCATTTAGTACGTATTTGCATAATTTTTTTAATATATCATTGCGACTCAAAATTAAATTAGTTATTAAAAATCTAGAAAACATATTTTGAAAAGTGGAATATTTTTTTAGCAAAGTTTTTTTCAAATATGATTTGATAAATCATCAAAAACCAGTCACTATTTTGAGGTTTATTTAAGGGTAAATGAAAATAAATAAATAAAAATATTACTAGGGTTATTATAAAAGTTGGGAAATATAATTATTATTTAATTTTATCTGCTTAAGTTCTTTTATACTTTGTGGAGATTTATGCTTAACTTATTGTTTTGTATACCACATATTATTAATTTAAAATTTGTTTTTTTTTTTTTTATTTTTGTTTTATAAGATTTTTATAACATTTAATAGTAAATACATTTTAAATATTCACCAATGGCGAGCATAGCTTTCTTGGTAGCGTGTTCGATTCACACGACAGGGATCTTCGGATCAAATCCTGTCATTGGCTTAGAATGTAGGAATGTAGGAAAATTTTTGTTGTTAAGTAGTATTTGAATAAAAATTTAGAAAAATAGGAATAACAGAGTTCGAATAGCTGAATTGAATTAGGACTAAGAAGAGAAATATTGGAACTGAACTAAAATTAAAAGAAGAATGAAGAAAAAAAAATGGAATGAAGCTAGAAGGTAAATAGAATTAGAAATTTGAAAAAGAGCAAGAATTGAAGAAAATAAGAAGAAAAATAAGAAGAATATAGAATAGGATACATATACAGATTAAAAATAATATAAAAATTAGAATGTAAATAAATAAAAATTGTAGGTGGCTAAATGCTCAGAGTAAGCGAGGCCAAATAAAATTTAAAAAAAAATGTTTACCACATGAATATCTATCTTTATTTTCTCTATTTAATATTTCATAACAATTTGAATACATTCAATTTAAAATTTTTGAATTTATTTCAAATAATTTAAATACTTGTGTGCATTAAGAGTAAAAAAATGAATAAATACAATATTTTGATGTTTTTCAAAGCGTATTTGTTCTCTATTCTCAAATAATTATTATTTTAAACAAAATAATTAGTTTTACTCTTTTAACTTAAATGTAACTTGAAGTCTGCTGTTTGACATTTCCGGTAAATTAATTTTTTTTAGTTATACGATCTGAAGTTGCGTGCTCATACCGACTACACACCTGGCTACGTCACTGGCCGTCGCTCTACAAGTGTTCATTCGTTCGGCAACGCTCGTTTTAGGTTTTAGTATGTTAAATGGCGACATAGAGCCGGTGGATTTAAACGCGTTGAAAACTATATTATATCGTGTTTAATACAAAAATAATTAAGTCAGTTTAGTGCAAGTTCCATTCACAAATTTTATACAAAGTGTTTGATACCAATTTGCAACATTAAAACAGTGAAAAATCGTTCTAAGTGCTGTGTGACGTGTGTGTTGTTATAGTTTGTTGGATTTTTTTACGAAACAAGTAAAGTGAAACATAATATTTATCTTGGATTACGTGTATGAAATTTTGATCAGCGATTTGGATTTAATAGGTTTGATTTGTTTGTATTATAATTATAATTATTATGGTAACGGTATACATGTTGATCACAAATCTCAGGTTATGTTGAAATACCACACCTTTACCGTACGAACATCGTGCAGAAGCCCTATGTACTTAAGTAGGAACGAATTTTGAATTGTGGAATTATGCGAAATATCTGTTTTGATATAAAAATATTACTTATTAGTCATTTTTTGTTATTTGAACAAAATTTTATTTCGTTCCAAACTTTTGACAGTTTGATTTGTTTGACAGCTTCAATAAATGCGATAGCCTTGTTGATCCAAATGTCAAAATGACAGTTCTCTTTATTTATTATTTGGCGGGACGAAATATTTAAAAAATATATTACAATATTATAATATTTATATTAACTGTACAAATTTACTTGGTATTCTATATATATTTTTTTAGAACAATTTATGATTCATTTTGATGAATTTAATTTTATAACCTATAATCTTGACAAATCTGCTTGGTTTCATAGAAACGCCTATTTAGTAAAATTAGCAATAATTATAATATTATTAACTTCCCGTAGGGTAAGTTATAGTAATCGTAAAAAAATCGAATATGAAATTTTTTATATATATTTACGTTTTAAAACCTTCTGAACATGTATGTGTGTGTGTATGTGTGTGTGCGAGTATGTGTGGATGTGCGGATACAAATTTTCTTCGACGATTTCGGGAACACGGATGAAGCGATTTGAATAATTCAAAAAACATTCGATTCGTAATGATAAGGAGACGTGCTGATTAGTTTTTGGCGAAGGCAGGTCTAGCTGTTCCGAGGATATGAAGCAAAAAGTGCCAAAAACGGTAACTCAGTTTTTGAGAGAACACAGCGTCCGATTTGAATAATTCAAAAACCATTTTACTTGTATTGAAAAGATGAAGAACTGATCAATGAATTTTAATTTTCATGAAGGCAGGCCTAGCGGTTTCGGAGATCTAGTAAAAAAAGTTAAAAAAAATGCCATTTGGCGGTCAAAAATGATCATTAGACATATGCACATCAAATTATCAGATATTTTAAAGAGATTTTAGCAATAAGTATAAATTTTGTTTACATTCCTTAAAACAGTACGATTGCTTTGAAAAAAAAAGTTAAGAATTTCCAAAATATTTCAAAATAAATTAGTAAATTTTTGTCAAAAATTTATAGTTTCTCAAAAATCTAATTTTTGAAGAGGAATTTTTATTTCAACAATGGTAATCTTTTTAAATAATTAATAATTTTTGGTACGGGAAGTTCCAGCAATTTGACTTAAGTCACGATGTCATGCGCCCCACTAGTTAAAGTTCTATAATTGTAAGACTTTTAGCTTAATATTTTTTGTTATTTTAGCAATATACTATTAAAAAATCCAAAGAAGTATCAAATACAAAATTATAGGGTCTTAATACAGTATTTTGATGACTTTTATTTCAAATTTGGCATTAAACAATGTTGCAATTTCGCACAATTTTAGTTGCAGATCGTGTGCACTGGTACTTAGAGCACCTAAAAATACCATAAAGTTCAACTTTTGCTGTAGCATGTGAATAACATGTTATATAACCAATTAAGTTAATTAAAAGTGTGTTTATCCTTTAAATTAATGGATTGCATTTGGGCACTCCCTTAGATGATCCAAGTTGATTGAGAAGTGGACTCAATATTGACCGCGAAACGTTGGATTTTTGAAAATATATGATAATCAGAGAATTCGAATAGTATTGTACTTAATTTGCGGAACACTACAATTTTGTTTTTTAACATGGATTAGAAATGTTATTTGCGGTTAATTAAAAGAAATTGTTATTGGCTTTTGCATTGTATTTTGTTCATCAATGGCTCTTGTATTGCATATTGTTCATCAATGTGTTCTTCCGTTCAACGTTTGAATAAAAATTTATGTAAATTGATGAATTTTTTAAAATAATCAAATCATTGATGTAAAATCGATAGTCTGTCTTACTGAAGTCTGTTTATCATTAATTTAAAACACGAGGTTCCAGATAAACCATTCAATAATGGGCGTCAGTCTACGCACGCCTCTCGTCTAAATATAGACAGATTTATTTTTGAATAACTTGCCTTCCTCCACATGCAGATTCCGCGATATTACAATGACCAAAAATAGATTTCATCATATAGGCCGTTCAATGGCCTTGAAAGATTGTTGGAAATTATGTTAATAATTATATTATAATAGATACAGTTCAGCTATTATAAAGAAAACGTTAAGCATAATTCTGATAATTCTCATTAATGTCATTACTCGAATTTTTAATTACGGTGCGTGATATTTCAGCAATTTGCATTAGGGCACGATGCCATGCACCACTAATTTTCTTAGCTATAAACCTTGCGGAGCCCGAGACCTTTCCAACGAATGCAAAATCGGTTCGTGCGTTATTTCGTCAGGAAGAAAAACCCGACTTATTTTTATATACGAGGTCTGTTCAAAAAGTACCCGGAATTTTCGTTTTTTCAAAAAAATATTTATTTATTCGTCTACATTAATGTGGTCCCCTTCAAAGTAGTCCCCCCCAGATATAATACACTTATGCCAGCGTTTTTTCCAATTTTCGAAGCACCCTTGATATTCACTTTTTGATATGTCCTTGAGCACTCTCGGCGATTTTCTTCAATCGAGGAAAACCGCCGTCCTTTCATGGGTCTCTTCAACTTTGGGAATAGGAAAAAGTCACACGGAGCCATATCTGGTGAATTTTTGCACTTTGCAACACTTTATTTCATTTTTTACGCAAAATTTAATACAAATTCTTTGACTTTTCAATTCTTCCATTGTAAAAATCGCCGAGCTCAGAAAAACACGTCGAACCTTAGCGACTACCACAGACAAAGTAAACAGTGAATATAGCTGAAAATTTCATCATACTTTAGGGGCATGTATACCAACACAATAAAAAAAAAATTTTGACAATCAGACACTCCAGACCCGCGAAATTTAATTATTAGTAATTCCGGGTACTTTTTGAACACACCTCGTATGTAGAAGATATATACATACATGTGTGTGTATTGTATATTCTTTTATCCTATACATTATTAAACTTTTAATTGAAAAACTTCCAAACGTCCCTTCCTCCTTCTATTTCATGGATGTACTACATATTGTTCGATTTCCTGATAATAATTAATCTCCAACAGATCAAAAATTAATTAAACCATTCAATTACTTGACAATTACAAACCGAACAGGCGAATAATCACAATGAAATAGATTGCGATTGAAAATAGCAAGAAACGTCGAAGGAAAGCGAATAAAGCTCTCTTGGCGAGACTCGAAAGCTGATCGTCCTTTGTTCTTACCTCTAACTTAATACAAAACTTTAGTTCTTAATTTGTGAGTAAAAATATCTCGCAAAGATCTATTTTGAAACTACCAATTCGAATCCAATCTAGCTCTACATACGAGTAACTAAATTAGCACTTGAAAATTAAAGTTTCAGATGCTTTAAGGGGGTTGTTCTTTTTTATTTTTTTTTTTTTTTGATTTTGAGATTTTTTGATATTATAAAAGCTAAAAACCTTAGAATTATTTAAAAAAAAATCATCTCAATATCTATTTTTTTGACGAAGTTATAGATATATATATACACCTAAGTCTGTTTTTACACGGTCTTTTTGTACACGGTTTTGATATAACACGGTTTGAAAATTGAATATTTTTAAATTTTTACACGAATTTATTCCATTTAGCACGATTTGAAATTATATGTACCTAAATTTTTTTTGTCAAATTAAATTTTTGCGAAGTATGTTCATATCACAAAAAAGTATTTATGAAAGAAAAAGTCTGAAACCATCGATAGTATCGATAGTTTGCGAACACTAGCTTAAAGATTTAAGAGAATTCCCCTTTAGCGCGTACAAACAATTTTTACTGGTCAAAGCAAATGTGAATAGCACTAATTTAATACTTGTTCTTAAAAATTCTTGTTTTTCACCAATTTTAATAGGTTTTAGAGATTAGGAACAAATCACCCATTTTTGTATAAGATCAATGTCTTTTTTTACACGTTCTTTTTTTTACACGGATTCTTCTGGAACCAATCTCCGTGTAAAACAGACTTAGGTGTATATATATATATATATATATATATATATCTCTATATGTATGATCTTCTAAAACCGTTTTTTTCATCGCTCCGGAGCTATTGTATGCCAGCTGCTCTCTTTTTCATTATAATACCTCATGCACATGACCTTTTTAATGTGTCAGCATTTTTGAACGGTGTATTTAGTACATTATATTAAAAACTTTAAATACGTTTTTTCTCAAATTGACTTTTTTCAATGCGGTGCCACAAATTAAAAAAAAACTACAAGTCGGATCGACTTGCATTTTTTTTTCAATTTGTTCACCACTGCAATACCTAGTCCCCCTACCTCAAACAACTTGATAACATTACGCAAAAAAAATTTGCGAAGCTTCTCGTCCCAAAAAAGGCCCTTTTTAACACTTTTTTTTAAATAGCTGCCATTTTTCCCTTCTTGCTTTTTTTCTTTTATTGCATGTGTGGATACAATTTTCCGTCCACGTTTACGGGAGCACGGATCAACCGATTTGAATTATTCAGAAAGCATTTAATTCTTATTGATAAGGAGCTGTTCGGATATAGGAACCAAAGAGAGAACGAAGCATCCGATAACCCAATTAAATAGCACATCAATTCTTTCCTAGGAAATTATTATGATCAACTCATTACTAAACTATGAATTGAAAAATATTCTAAAAAAATTTTACATGACTTACAGAATTTATATCTTAATTATAAATAAATATAAGGTAAAAATTATATATTTTGCATAAAAAAATTGCAACAAACATTCTTAAAAATTACTTGATTTAACAAATGTATTTTACAAAGTAAATTAATATGTACTTAAATTTTCTATTTTACTTATATTTGACAATTTATTAAAGAATTTTTAAGGATCTTGT